TGTTGTATGTCCACCACTGAATTTATGAATCAGTTAGGAGCTTTATTTTCTATTTCTATGTGATACCTACCTTTCTGTATTTGTTGGTCTGGAGATTTCTGCTCTCTAATTAACAACAGTCATTCAACAGTTATCTGCCTTCAGTTCCCAAACCACATTTTCAGAGCCAATATTAATTGAGTTAATAGGCATGTGTTCTTGAAAAGAGCCTTCAGAGGGAGCAAGAGCTCCATGAGGAAATATGTGACATCTCTGTGGGAGTCCCTGCAGTCACTAGTGGCCCAACCCGGATGATATGGAAACAGCACTTAGCTCATGAATAATGCAGATATTTAATAAAACAACAACAACAACAACAAAACAGCTTGTTTCCAGAGGACTTTCTAGTAACCTCTTCAGGGAGCCAGACCTATCTCATAGGTACTGAGAGTTCAGCTCGCCCCTTCTCAGTCAGCCAGAACTCCCATTTACTCATTCATTCATCATTTGCCACCACAGTGCTGAGGAATACGAGATATTTGGATTAACAAGACACAGTCCTCCTTCAAGGATAATTATCCAGTGGGCCAAAAAAAGCACATGAATATTTGATTCCAATATAATGTGTTAAGAATTTTGATAGAGCCATATACAAGGTACAGTAGGAAAGCAGAAAGTGGCTCCTCTCATACCTTTCAGGTCAAATGTAAAGAGTCAAGGTCTCAGAAGGCTGAGAGAAAGGTCTTTGGGCTAAAGGGAGCCGGAAACTCATGCATCTCTTTGGTGATTTATAGAGAAGTTGGTTTTCTTGTGACTTACCACAATAGCCAAATCATCATTCACAATAATATTTCTACAGGAAAATTTATTGTAAGTTCCAAATAGTCTTCTGGAACATGATCCATTTGTAAACTCCATTCTTCATCAGTTAAGCATGTTTGTATTTTAGTGTGTCTGACAGACTTTGAGATGTAGTTTAAAAGCCATGGCCTAATTCTTATCCTTTAGCAATTTTCCAGGATTTCCTCTACTTGACTAAGCTTACTCTTAAACCTTGAAAACCAATACGATGTCTCCCAATGGTACTGTCATGTCTTCAGCAAACTAATCTTTTCAACAGGCCATACACTCAAACTAAAACAGCAAATCATAATTACGTTTTCTGCTTTCATTGAGGCTCTCATTACCTTCTTCTTTTGTCATTAAATCGGTCAGGTAAAAGTGATAAAGCCTAAACTTGAAAACATAAAGATGAAAACAAAATTCCTTAGTCTTGCAGTTTTACTTGTGATGTACCATTAGGCAAGCTATTCAAATTCTTTTGGCACCTCAGCATACTCAGCTATGAAATGAGAATCCTAGTATTTTATTAGATCTTTCTTCATAGAGGGCTTATTTAGATGAGAATTTAATAAACGAACACACACAAAGTTCTTAAAAAGTGCTTGGTAAATGAAAACTATTCAATAAAGTTAGAACTAATCATCATTATCATCATTAGTTGGTGAGAAGCAGAGCAAACGTAATTATTATATATTGTTTGACCTGGAAGCTTAGAAGGTGCTCATCCTGGTGCAGGCAGAGAGAGCTGGATCTGGGTCCCAGCACCTGCGCCACCAGTCAGGCCCATTGGAGCCGGCCAGTAGCCTTACCTTCATCACTTCATTGTGCGTGCCCCGCACAGCTAAGTGGAGGGGCGCCATCATGTTGAAGTTTTGAAGCTTTGGGTTTGCTCCTCTGCTGAGAAGAAACTTAACGCTTTCGATTTGGTTTTCTTCTACAGCACAGTGCAGAAGGCTATTTCCATAATCATCCATAATAATTGCATTCAGTACTAGAAAAAGAAACCAAAATATGGATTAGATTTTGCTTGGACTGTATTCAACACCTCCTGAGTGCCTATCCACTCCAAACTCAGTGCCAAGTGCAACTGACATCAGCTGCATCTTTTCTATGGTAACTAAAAACATAGCTTCAATTCTCATGAAACATTTAATGGGCACCTAATGGGAATATATAGAAGCATTGTACTGACTTTATCAAGTGAGTTAAATTTCTATTGGTAGCATTTATAAGAAAAAGATCCTCCTATTGCTACATGTTTTTATCTATGTGAGTTTGGGTATTATGATAAAATATTGAGATTATGTAAAAGAAAGAACTATATACCGGGCACTCTACGAAGTTCACGTGACCATGATTTCATTCAAGCCCCAACAGCCTGCTGGGCATCACCATGACAAATGTTCAGAAGGAGGAAGATGCTGAGGTCCAGAGAGGTTAAAAGTCTTGCCAACATCACAGAGCCAGTAAGGAGGTATGAAAGTTACCATGCCTCTCTGAACCTCAGCTTTCTCATATTCAAAATTCATAAAAAAATTCATATGTCTACACACACACACAGAGAGAGAGAGAGAGAGAGAGAGAGAGACAGAGACCTTGCAATGTTGTAGTGTTACTGGGACAATAATATTAAATCGTGTCTTTAAAGATCACAGCAGAGTGCCTGGCCTGTAGGAATGGCTCTGAAAATGTTAATAAGAAAAAAAACACACCACTGATAAACCACAAAACTAGAATTCGAGCTTGAGCCCCTGATGCCACACCTGGTTTCCACAAATTGCTACAATATGATATATAGCACTATGTACCCTGTGAGCTCAGCATATAAATAATATGTCCTTTCATCCTGCAAAGTCCTATAGCTATTCTAAAATGGACATGGCTGACTGCTTTATCAACCTTGTAAATTAGTGGCAGTGTATCTTTATGTCCAGGAAGGGAGAAAAAGTATTCTCTCATAAATATGATTTGGGGACTATCTATGGTACTTGGAACCATATAGCCACGTTTCCTGTTTCTCTCCTTTTAAAAATATATCTCTCCACTATTTCCTTTCATTCATCTGAGTGCTTCATTCTAAAAAAAAAACACACACACATGCAGGGGCACACACACACATGCATCGGCACACACACACACACATGCATGGGCACACCCACACATACACACATCTCTTGACTGTTCTGTCTGATCAAGAAGAATCACTCCATTCGGAGTCAATTTTACTTAGAACTCAATTTTTCTGCTTGTTCTGGTGTCATCAGAAAAATCTGTTGTATGTCCACCACTGAATTTATGAATCAGTTAGGAGCTTTATTTTCTATTTCTATGTGATACCTACCTTTCTGTATTTGTTGGTCTTGCTGATAAATGCAAATTAAACTGAGATTTTAGTACATAAAAATATGTGGGAAAATGATGGATGAATTAAAGGGAAATGAGAACACAGGGTTCCTTCCATGGACTTTAGGCACCTTTGCATTCTGTTCTTAAGAAGCTCTAGATTCATATGGAAAATAACTTACCAAAGAAGAGGCTTTTCTCTCTTTGCCCTCTTAGAATCATAGACCATAAATGTGTAGCATTTATTACGCTGTTAT